TAGGAGAGTAGATGTTTTAGATTCGACTTATGTTAAGAAAGGCAGAGGTAGACCTACGAAGAGTTGGGTTTATTGTATAAAAAATGATCTTAATTTACTAGAACTAAATGAAAATATGACACTAAATAGGACGCAATGGAGAAAAAGGATTCATGTAGTCGATCCCACGTAGTGGGATTAAGGCTTTGTTGTTGTTGTTGTTGTTAATTTGATCATCTCATTGAAAATTTTTATTTTAGAAATTTAATTTATGGATGAATTTATTGATATTACAGATAAAATATTGAATTTTTTTTTTCTTTTGGGAAGATGGACGTTGGGGAAGCAGCTTTTGAGGATGAAGTATTTGGCAACATTTGAGAAAGAATTATAAATATGATTGAGTTTATATTAGAATATTTGTATTAATTTCATATTTCATTTTTTTTTTTTTTTTGTACTTCTTGAGAGACAAATTTTGGGAGTTTGAAAGAGTTATTTTGGGAGTTTGGTATATATTTTTTTAAGCTTCTGAAAAGAAACATTTTGGGAGTTTCATATCTATTTTATTTTCTTGTGCTTCTTGAGAGACAAATTTTTGGGAAAATTCTAATATACAAGCAATAATAGCGTAGCATGTATATTTATTTATCGTTAATTTAATTTATTAGCACTTTTATTCACTTTAAATGATTTCTACTATGCATTTATGTAATTGAGTGCTAAATATTGTTTTTTATCTTTTATTGACTTATAAATCTTTCACTTAATCCTAAAATTTTCTGATGTTTAATTCTTTTTTCCAAAAACAATTTCAAGGAAAAGGAAGGAATAGTTTAAGAAACTAAAATTGTTAATTGGTACAGAAAAAATGTTGATCATTTAAATATAAGTTTTTAAGTTCACATATGATTTATATTTTATGATATATTTTATTCAACTATACATTACACCACTATTACATCATTTAAGTTATATTTATTATTTTTTTTATATTTGTGACGCCATCCAATTCAACCACGGTAAATTTTCAAATATGGAACTTATCCTCCTATTAAATATTTGATTTGATTTTCAAAACTGTCTAAAGCATTAAAATTAAAAATATGCTTTAAAATATACTATTATTTAAATATTTTACTCAATGTCAAAATGGTTAGATATTCATAAGGTCAAATAAATGGTGAACATTTCATGTGGGCAGTGTGCAAGCAACTTTATTAATAGTATATAGAGACCGGAGATATTTAAACTTATTATACAAAAATATTATTAGATCTTCAAATACTATATTGTGTTCCATAACAAGTTCAACAATATCCTACTACAAAATTATGTGAAGCGATTAGAGCGTTCAATTTGAACTCATTTAAATTTATATTAGGATAAACTTGTGTGAAAAAACTAAGTTTTGTGTAAGAGGAAATTCTAGTGAAAGAAAAGTGAAATGCTATATCATCATGATCACTTCACCTTCACATATCATCCAATAGTCATGTCAAACCCGATATGAACCGCCATATTCTGAAGATACAAGATTGATATTTCTTCTCTCAAGAACAGTAATAAAGATAGTTCTCAGCTCTTCTAATTCCAAGATAGAGTTTTAACATTAGAATTAGTTTCTAGGGGCATTTTTGTATTTTGATCAACCTCTAAAATTCCATGTGATCATTATATTTCCTGAGTATAATGCTTTTAAATATTATGCATTTGGTAAAAAATCAAGTTTCTGTAGAATTAAAATCTGAATGTAGGAGTATTCATCTTCCTATTGGAGAACTTGATGGCTATTCTAATTACTCAATTGCGTGACCTATAACACCCTCATTGGTGAGAGGTACACCATTTTCATTTTTTTTTATTGAGGGCTTGTTTGGGATTACTTTTTATTTGTATTTTTGATCCGTTGTGTTTTTGTTTTGTTTTCTGTTTTAGAAAATGTGTTCGGTACAGTTATGATTTATATATTTTAAAAACAAAAAATACAAAATATATTTGGTTTGGTATTTTTTATTTATTTTTAAGAAAAAACTATTTTATATAAAACGATTGAATCCACGTGCGCTCTAGTATTAAGCTCTGCCGCCCATGACATATACGATGTTTTCTTTGCTCCACCCAACACGAAGTTTTACTTATAGGCGGATGTGATGGTCTGCCTTGAGGAACATTCCTATCTCTAGAGTTTAGATTATCTATTGCAGGAAGACTTTCCAGGAACGCGGAACAGATAAATGACTTCATTTTTGGAATAGACAGTGTGCCTTACCGACTTCCATATTTATTGGCGGGCAGCGGGTGAGCAGCAGGCGGCGGGAGGGGTGTGGTGACAAAGGAGCCTTGCATAGAAAATGCTACGAGAAATATGCTTTTAAAACATCATAAACACAATTTGTGTTTTTGACGTTTTGAAAATAAGTCTTATGTATTTTAAAAACAAAATAAAAAAAACACTATTTTTGGGTTTTTTATCTATTTTTCATTTTAAAAAATAAAAAATAGAAAACAGAAAGTGATCCCAAACAGGGCCTAAGTGTGATCATTCTTTATAGGTTACTTTCATAGATCACTCGTGTTTTTGTGCTTCTCTTTAAGTTCAATATTTTCCAAAAAAATATATATATATGAGCTTCTTAGTGAGGTGGAGGATGTTTTGTTTGCAAATAGTATCTAACTTAAAACAAGATTTAGTAAATCTTATAAATCCAATTTTAATAAACTCAAGGTTGATTTAGGCCCCATTTTGGGTGGCGTTCGAGCTGCAGCGCGGCTTGTGCTTAGTGTTGTGGTTTGTTGTTGGTTGTGACAGTGAGTTGTGTTGTGATAGCCAGTGTCGTGTTGGTCAGTGTTATGGGTTATGTTGTGATAGTTGGTGTTGTGGGTTGTGTTGTGTTGGTCAGTACTGTGGGTTGTGTTGTGATGGTCAATGTTGGTTTGTGGTTGTGGTTTGATGTGTTGTTGTGTTGGTCAGTGTTGTGGTTGTGGGTTGTGTTGTGTTGGTCAATGTTGTGGGTGGTGTTCTGTTGACCAGTGTTGTGGTTTGTTGTTGGTTATGGATGTGGGTTGTATTGTGATGACCATTATTGTGGGTTGTGTTGTGCTGGTCAATGCTATGGGCCAGTGTTGTGGTTGTGTTATGCTCGTCGGTGTTGTGGGTTGTGTTGTGATGGCCAGTGTTAGGTTGTGGCTGTAGTTTGATGTGTTGTTGTGTTGGCCAGTGCTGTGGTTGTGGGTTGTGTTATGTCGGCCAATGTTGTGGGTGGTGTTTTGTTGGTCAGTGTTGTGGTTTATTATTAGTTGTGATTGTGAGTTGTGTTATGATGGTCATTGTAGTGGGTTGTGTTGTGTTGGTCAGTGATATGGGTTGTGTTGTGATGACCAGTGATGTCAGTTGTGTTGTGATGACCAATATTAGGTTGTGGTTGTGGTTTTTTGTGTTGTTGTGTTGGTCAGTGTTGTGGTCGTGGGTTGTGTTGTGTTGGTCAGTGATGTGGGTGGTGTTGTGTTGGCTAGTGTTGTGGTTTGATGTTGGTTGTGGTTGTGGGTTGTCTTGTGAAGGCCACTGATTTGGGTTGTGCTGTGTTGGCAGTGTTGTGGGTTGTGTTGTGATGACCAATGTTGGGTTGTGACGATGGTTTAATGTGTGTTGTGTTGGCCAGTGTTGTTGTGATTGTGGGTTGTGTTATGTTTAGTAATATTGTGGGTGGTGTTATGTTAGCCAGTGTTGTGGTTTGTTGTTGACTGTGGTTGTGGGTTGTGTTGTGATGGTTCGTGTTGTAGGTTGTATTGTGTTTGTCAATGTTGTGCGTTATATTGTGATGATCAGTGTTTGGGTCTCGTGTTGGCCAGTGTTGTGGGTGGTGTGTTGGCCATTTTTGTTGTTTGTTATTGACTGTGGTTGTGGGTTGTGTTGTGATGGTCAGTGCTGTGAGTTGTGTTGTGTTGATTTGGGTTATGGTTAAGGTTTGTTCTGGTGTTGTGTTGGCCAGTGTTGTAGTCGTGGGTTATGTTGTGTTGGCCATTGTTGTGGGTGGTGTTGTGTTGGCCAGTGTTGTAGGTGGTGCTGTGTTGGTCAGTGTTGTGGTTGTTGTTGGCTATGG